CACAGACCAGTCAACAGAACTTGCTTTTTTAAGGTTATGTATCTGTAGTGGAGAATGCTCAGACATCTGGCTGTCTCCTTACTTTTTGCCTTTGAGTAGGTGGGAGTCTGTGTAAGAGCTATTGTAGAACTTTGAATCCTCAAAAATACCTTAGGTTTTTTTTTCTGGATTTGAACATTTGTGTTAGCACACAGCCCGCTGGCCGAGAGAACTTTTATTTGTCTTATTCTTTAATGGATGTGGTGCTGTTTCAGTTGGGAAATAATTCGCGTGAACAGTGATTTTATGTACACATCAATTGGATTGCATATTTTTTTAAAAAAATACATTTTATTGATTTTGTACAGAGAGGAAGGGAGAGAGATAGAGAGTTAGAAACATCGATGAGAGAGAGTCATCGATCAGCTGCCTCTTGCATACCCCCTACTGGGGATATGCCCGCAACCAAGGTACATGCCCTTGACCGGAATCGAACCCGGGACCTTTCAGTCCCTAAGCCGACGCTCTATCCATTGAGCCAAACCGGTTTCGGCGGATTGCATATTTATCACTTATTTTTTAAGCCTTTGTTAACCTGAGTATAAAAATATGTATTGCTTTCTCAGTGGGTTTCTCAAACATTTCTCAAAGAACTAGAGGCCCTATGCATGAATTTGTGCACTGGTGGGGTCCAGCTGGCCCACCCTGCTGGGGCCAATTAGGGGAGGGACCGCCCGGGGCGAGGGACCGTGGTTGTTACAATTGTTCCGATTATTCTGCCATTTAGTTGCTGTGTTTTTTAATATACAGGATTAGTCAGCTCAGACGGCCATAACAATTATCATAAATTTGTGTGGCTTACACAACAGAAATGTATTTTTCTCACAGTTCTGGAGGCTGGAATTTGGGTCAGGGTACCAGCATAGCATCGTCCCATACACCAGAAAGTGGTGGATCGATTGCCAGTCAGGGCACATGCCCAGGTTGCAGATTCAATACCCAGTCCAATGAGTGCAGGAAACAACGGAACAATGTTTCTCTCTCTCTCCCATCTCTCTGAGATCAATTAAAAAGAATGGCAAATAAATAATGTTCTCTAAGTATGGTTTTAACAGGAAAGACATTAGGGAACTATAAAGTGAAAAACTCATTATAACACATATATACAGCATGACCCCATTTAAAAAATATTTACTGATTTTAGAGGAAGGGAGAAGGAGAGATAGATAGAAACATCAATGATGAGAAAGAATCGTTGATCAGCTGCCTCCTGCACGCCCCCCAGTGAGGACTGAGCCCAAAACCTGACCGGGAATCATATCGTGACCTCCTGGTTCATAGATGGATGCTCAACCACCGAGCCTCACCAACCAGGCCCCATTTTTATCAATATCAGGCACATGAGGTACATTGGCAAGATCTCACTCCCAGACTCCTTTGCAGCTAGTTGTCTGGATATGAGTTTGTTTCTGCCAATTGGATGTGCTTGCACAATATTTTGACAGCAGAAGTGGGGCAGAGGCATCTTCCCGCAGTTTGGGCTTTTTGCTGCTGGTGTCATGTGGAGGTTTTCTGCAGCGGAATCCAGGCTGTGCACAGGCAGCTGTGGCAGAGGCAGTGCCCAGTGACCTGTTTTGTGGGAGCTGGAGGGCACTTGCGGGGACAGCAGTTTCCTGATCCCGGGTCACAGCTGTGCCAGAGTGTCCTAGAGTTCAGGTGTGGCTGAGGGGCAGCTCCTCCCGCTGGACAGGGAGTCTTTCCTGGGAGCCCAGCCTATTACCCACTCCTCCAGCTTTCCGATGATTTCCCAAGCACCGCTTTCCTGTGCTAAATTCTCTCCTGCCTAACAGAGCAAAGATCTAAAAGCATTTTGGATCCTGTACTTTCAGTGAAAGCAGTGCTGCACAGGTCAGGGCTGAGAAGGGGTGAGGTGTTGTGGAAGGCTCCCTTTTTGAGTCTCAGCTTCCTCTTCTGTGGAACGAGACCAAAGATTATCAGTTCATAGTTACTGAAGACTGTGGCAGCTGTGTTTCCTAAAGATGGCCACGTTTCCCATCCCTCCCTTGGCCTTGCCACTTTCTGCCATGTCCTCTCTCTCGAAGCGGGGCTGACCTCCAGCATGCTGGTAGGCAGTACACTGGTTGCCCACAGAATGCCAAGGCCAAGGCCAAAAAGGTGCAGGCGTGCAGTCCTGCTCACCTCGCCACATTTTCCAGCTGCGGCCCCGCCCATGCTGCTCAGGGCTCTGTCTGGCATGGGGCCTTGCCCTCCTGGCTGGCTTCCCCTCCCAGCTGTGGCCCAGCGCCTGTCTGCACACCATGGCCCACCTGCTGGTGCTGCTGGGTCCAGTGGGCAGGTAGGAGCCCACACTGGGCCTCGCACCTCCTGGCTCCTGTGTGTCACTGTGCCTTGTGCCCCGAGGCCCTTATTCCTGCCGCTGCTCCAACCAGGACCAGACGCTCAGGTGGTGTGCGTGGCCTGCGGAGGCCACCAGGAAAGCCTCCTGACCACCTCCCCGACTCCAGCGCCCTGATCCCGGGTCCACTTCCACCAAAGGAGAGCTTTGCTCACGCAGCTGCCCGAGACTGAGCATCTCCAAGGTCCCTGGACTCCAAATTTCTGCCTTCCAAAGTGGTTGGCTGGCTGGCCCCACCCGGATCAGGCTGGTTGGCTGCCGCAGTGCGTGTCATAGCCATTGGTCGTTTTGCTGTAACGGTTGCTGGATTTTTATATTTATAGATGGTTTAGTGGTTGTTTTATTATGAAGAAGAGAGTGAAAACACTTGATATATTTTGTAATCAGTGCATGGGATTTTAATGTTTATATGACTTTTGTGAGACACTTAGAATGTGGTCTTTTGATTAAATTAACTTAATGTTGGCCGGTTGCCTGTGAAACTGATATTCCTTTACAACCTCTGCCTTCTAAAACGAACAAGAAACAGTGTCCTAAATTGGAAAGATCCAGAGAAATATGGTCCTGACTATAATTCACACTCTTATTTCACACAAGTCCTTCAGTTCCTTTGCTTTTCTGAGTGTTACATGGAGGATCGGTGTGATGGCTTCTGCGGGCCCTTTCTTGCTGTAAATTGTGTCTCGATGCTCAGCCACTGAGCCACGCCGGTCGGGGTGTGCCATCTTCTTGTCACACGGTAGTAGAGTTTCATAGGATAAGTCATCAAAGAGCCAGAGAACATACGTGCCAGTAATAACCCTTTACATAAAACGTGCTGTGAGGGTTCCAACCAGATACTGTCCCGATGCTGTGAAAGTGTCTGTCTGTCTGTCTGGTAGCCTGGTGCTTGAGTGGCAGGCTCGGGACATGCGGGAGCTTTGGTGCTAAACATACAGGGCTGCCTAATTTGTGATGTGTGGATTCAAATAAGAAAACAGCAGAGGAGGTTGATTTAAAAAGTGGTTCTTTCATGACCTAAGTCATGTTTTCTTCTCATGTGAACTTGAACAGAATTTACTCAGTGATAGACAGTGTGATAAGAGCAGTAAAAATAAACCATATGGGAAGTATTTTGAAATGTTATCCTAGAAATTATTACCAAACTAGAGGGCTGGTGCATGAGATTCCTACACTGCATCGGGGGGTTGGGGGGGAGTGAGGAGGGGTCCCTCAGCCCAGGCTGTGCCTTCTCGCAGTGGCTGCTGCCATTTTTGTTGGGATTTATTTATCTTCTATAATTGAAACTTTGTAGCCTTGAGTGGAGGCTTGGGGCCTGCCAGGGTATGCAGAAAGCTTGGCTTCCTTCATTGCCCAGGAAACCCAAGCCTCCTGCTCGCTCTGTGGCCGAAGCAATCTTGGTTGGATTAATTTGCATATTTGCTCCTGATTGGCTGGTGGGCATGGCTTGTGGGTGTAGTGGAGTGATGGCTAATTTGATTTTACTCTTTTATTAGATAGGATCATTAATGCCCTAGCTTTTTGGTTCAGTGGATAGAGTGTTGGCCTGTGGACTGAAGGGTCTTGGGTTTGATTTCTAGCCCAGGTTGTGGAGGAAGCAGGCAGTCAGTGATTCTTTCTCATCATTGGTGCTTCTGTCCCTTCCTCTCTGAAGTCAATCAATCAATAAACAAATGATTGTTAATAACTACTAGATTAATCTTTACTTTTTGCTTGAGACTTATTTTCTCTTTAATTGCTGTTTTTATTGTTACTATTGACTACCTTTTGACTTGATCGCACTGTTTGTGTATTAAGTTCACTCTGTTCTTGCCTCTGCCCCAGACACTGTAAATAGCAGTGGCACTACCTTGGCTTCCAGCTCACAGGAGGGTTCTGAAATTCCTATATATGGTCTGGGTGGGGTTCCAGATGGCCCGAGTGTGCTCATCTGTAAGGAAACATCATAATCTGAATGAAAAGAGACTTTTAGAGGTTTGTGACCCTGACCAGAAAACTAGGTTCTACCTTCAGGGTTAAAAAATTTAGAAATTGGCAAAGTACAGGGCAGTCCAAAAAAGAGGAAAGGGGCCTATCCTCATGTGGGCCCTTGGTTCTGGCATTACCACTTCATTTGGTAACTTAGGCTCAACCAGAGCCCTGTGATTCCCGCCAGTCTTTCGTATGTCTGTGTTCTTTCACTGTGCATAGGACGGTGTAGTAGGCATTGGCTTTGGGTCGTTTTCCTGAATGGCAGCAGGAAAACTTATTTTGCTGGATCTCTTTTATGACAGGGACATATTTTGTGACTATTGTAATGGTCTGTCCCCACTAAAAAGAATGAGGCCCGGGGATCTTCCCCAGCTGCTACTGCTGTGCTTTGGTAACTGCATTGGTTTCTCTGGCCTCTCCACGGTGAGGGTTCAAGGTGAACTGATTGACAGAAAATTATTTTTACTAAGTTTGGTGATAGCAATTTACTTATGGCAAATTGCAGCTATAGTTTGATTTCTAGATGTATATATTATTCTTCTAATATCTTTTGCTAATATCTTTTGAAACTTACAGGAAAACAGATTTGATAACCTTGATTTTGATTTGGATTTGATGGCATGGGAGACAGGCATTTGGGACATCAACAACCAGTTCTGTACAGGTAATGATGTATTTCATTGGTAAAAACTTTGAATGGACTAATTTTATTTTGTAGTTTGGTAATAGTCAAAATGAGGTGGGGTTATTGGGCTACCTTGGAGGGTTAAAAAATTCCAAGGACTGTATATCCTACTCCTGGTATGGCTGTGCATACATAAAATTCTTGCCATAACATAGATCAGAATTTCATAGTTATGTTTCAATCACACACAAGTAAAGAATTCCTTTCAGAAATATTGATTTTGACTTATAGTAAAAGACTATTATGCGAATTATCCCCTCGGGAGTTTGACTGACCAGGAGTTTGACCCCTTGCTGTGATGTGCACTGACCACTAGGGGAAGCGGAATGAAGGAAGGCCCTGGCTGGCAGCCAGGGGAAGAAAGGCCTCAATCCACCCTGATTGCCAGCTAGGCCTAGGGAGCCTACCCATGTACAGATTTCGTGCACCAGGCCTCTAGTATCTCTGTAAGAGATTAACCTGAGAACCAGACAGACTTAGGGAATCAAAGGAAAAATCTTGGGGTTACCAGCACTTAGGTACTTGGTGTAGGGCCCATGCATGTGGCTATGTCCTGTCTGGGGAGGGGAGCTCAGGGGTGCAGGCAGGAGCTGGGGCCTGCTGCACGCTGTCACTTCGGTGAAGCTAATCAAGGATGAAAATCCCTTTCCCCTTCTGCTAGTCAGAACCCTTCTAGGGTCCCTACTGACAGCCCTAACGGAAACCAGCTGGGCCTGCAGGAGTGATTCACATCTCAGACCACAGGAGGTGGACTCGGAGCTGGGGACAGAGAGTAGATAAGCAGCAGCAGGTGTCCACACTTCTCTGGCACTTCATGTTGTGTATTTGTGTATCTTGCTCAATGCCTGTCTTCCCTCAGAGCACTGGGCTGCACAAGGCCGGTGTCTGATCACAATTATGTAATAAATGACCCTAAAATGTAGTGGCTTAAAACCAAGGCTTTCAAACCCGGGGGTCAGGAGTTGGACAGGTGCACCAGGAAGAGCTTGTCTCTGCTCCCTGGTGTACAGGCCTCAGTGGGAAGGTCTGAAGGCTGGGGTAGCTTGACATCTCAGGGCTAGAAATCTCTTAAGGTTTCTTCACTCGCTCATCGGAGACCTCATCTGGAGTGACTTGGAGACGAGGACTGCCTAGAGTGCCTACACATGGCCTTTCTCGGTGCTTGCGTTCCTCACACATGCTACCTCATGGTCGTCTGACTTCACACGCACAGGAGTTCTCGTGCACTGCCGCTTAAGGAGCCCTGATCTCTTCGCTTCAGATGGAGGGGAGCACACTCCCTCCTGGGTGGGGAGGTGGCAGGGTCTGAGTCCAGGTAGACTGCTTCTCATCTCGGATTTTTACTTGATAATAAACTTTGGTGACCTTCCCTTCTCTGGGTTTGAATTTTATAATAAGAATAGATTTTACCTTCCTTGTTGCTGACTTTATGGCGTTCATACTCTGTGTTTTTCAGTTAAAGATATTAAGGCAGAGCCTCTGCTGCTTTCTCCGGCCTCCTCCAGTGGCGCAGTGTCACCTCCACAGTCAGTGGACTCCTGCTCTTCAACTCAGCATGTCCCCGTGAGTGGCAGTCCTGGCTGTCATGCTGCCTGGACAGTGGTGCATGGGGGGAAGGGGCAGGGGGCAGTTCACATTGAATGAGTGAGCTCATTATCTCTTCTGAGCCCGAGGAAACTGAGTCTCAAGGAAGGGCATTGGGATCTTGGAAGTTTCCCTGGTTTTGGGTTTCCCTGGTTTTGCCCTCTTTCCTGTGTCCATTGGCTCATTGTCCTTTCCCAGGATTCAGGGTTCTCCATTTATTGCTGACTAATCTTCCCTGCCACCTGCCCTGGTTGGAACAGAGATTCTCTGAGGACATGAAAGGCCGAGAGAGGGTGCTTTTGTAACTCCTCAGCTATGAACCCGGAAGGAATGGTCTTCTTAGTTCAGCAATACCTAGCCCGCCTTTGAAATGACCAAGGTTTTTTCTTTAATCCTGGTGAGGATATGTTTTTGTTGATTTTAGAGAGAGAGAGCAAGAGGTGGGGGTTGGGGGAGGAGAAAAGGGGGGAGAGGGAGAGAGAGAGAAGGAAAGAGAGAGAGAGAAAGAGAGAGAGAGAGAGAGAGAAACATTGATCAATTGCTTCCTGTACACTCCCGACCGGTGATGGAACTTGAATCCTGGATATGTTCCCTGACTGGGAATCAAACCCCTGACCTTTCAGTGTAGGGGACAACACTCCAACCAACTGAGATTTTTACAGAAGTCTGGTATCATAGTTCCTTAAAATTGATTGTGCTCTCCATCCAAATCAAAGCTCTGAGGTCAGGAAAAAGATTTAGGTACTTTTTGGAATGAGGAAAAGGAAAATATAACAAGAAAAGTTCAAAAGAATATTTCTGAATGTAATATCTGGCAGGCCCTGTATCTCGTCATTTATGAAACTCCGATGATTCCGTGGACTTAATGTCTCTAGGATTCATCTTCTTGGCCCTGCCAGGCCCTCAGCATCTCAGCTGCATCAAGTCAATAGGAGTGTAACTGCTCTCACTCCCCCTGCTCCCCAGACCTTCCTTAGCAGAGGAACCTTCACAGACATCTTTCAGAACCACACATTGGAGTGTCAGTCTTTTGCTAAAACCTTTGGTGACTTCCAACCCTTCCGAGGGTGAAACTCACATCCGCCAGGTGCTGGCCCTCGTGCCGGCCCGACTTCCCTTCCAGTCTCGTTTTCCACAGTCTCCCCTGCACGCCCTCTTGCGTAGCCCTGGGAGCGTTCCCAGCGTAGAGCTGTGTTTTGCTGTTGTTCAGTGTCAGAGGACAATCTGCTTTATCTGGAATGTCTTAATACTTCATGTCGAAAGGGCTGATACATCACACCTTTGCTAGGAGTTGTCTGGAAAAATTTCTCTGTCTCTGTGGGCCTTGCCTCTCTTTCTAAATGACTTTGTGCTCAAGGATGTGTTCTTCTGGGTGATTTGTGTTTGCTTTTGCTACAGGAGGAGCTGGATTTGTCTTCCGCCTCCCAGATGTCTCCCCTTTCCCTCTATGGAGAAGGTGCCAATGGTCCCTGCTCAGCTGAGCCACCGAAAGATGACCAGCCCCTCACGGGTCCCAGGAGCAAACCCGGTATTCCTCCCTCTCTCAGGGCTGCTGTGCTTTCGCCTGAGCTCAGGCCCCACTGCCAGAGGAACCGCGGGAGGGAGCGTGTGCTTGTGGGCCTGGCTTGTGGTTTGTCCTGAAGGCCAAGGTGGAGAGGACAGGAAATGAGTCCTCTTCTTGGTTGTCTCTGTTTCTAGAGGCAAAAGAGACTGTACAGTAGTCTCAGCCCCTTGCCCTCCACTTAGGGCTGTATGTGAGGGCCGTGGGGGTGACCTTGTGGCCTGTAGGTTGTGGTCAGGGGTTTTATATGCTTCTCACAGTTTTGCACCCCCTCCACCCAGAGCTGAGCTATCCGGAAGAGGACTCATTTCTCCATGGGATGAGCAAGTGTGGACGTCACGGACAGCTTGGTGACTGCACCTCATGGCCCTGTCGTGCACATTTGGAAGTTGCTAGGAGATAGACTTTAACAGTCTCATGACAAGAAAAGTAACTTGTCCCTGTATGTTGGCAGATGTTAACTAGACTTACTGTAATCATCACTTGGTGCTACAGATATTATATTGGATCATTATGTTGCACACTTGAAACAGATATAACGTTAAATGTCAGTATTCCTCAATATAAGGAAGGTAGTCCTCAGGTTAAGGACTTTACTTCAGTTCATTAGGGTATGGAGTAGCTATACTTAAACTTCAGTTAGTTACTCTGAGGTCATAACCTCAAGATAACCGACTTTAGAGGCCAGAGTATAGAGAGAAGTGTATAATAGAACCTGTTTTCTGAGATTGGCTTCATTGTCTTCAGATTGACTTGTGGTTTGGTTTTTCTCCAGAAAATGGACTGACTCCAAAGAAAAAACTTCAGATGAATTCCAAACCTTCAATTCAGCCCAAGCCCTTATTGCTCCCAGCAGCACCCAAGACTCAAACCAACGCTTGCGTTCCGGCGAAAGCCATCATTATCCAGGCGCTGCCCACACTGGTGCCAGTGGCCAAGCATCAGCCGGTTATCAGGATACACCCTGCACCCACGGAAGGTACAGATGCAGCTCGCGCTGCGTGGGACTCACTGGCAGCCGTCAGGGCTTGGGCCACATGATGTTTTAATCCAGGCTGTAACCCCGCAGCACGTGCCATGTGTTGGGAATGGACCTTGGTTCTAGGATGTTGCAGATGACTAATATGTGGTTCCTGTCTCAATGAGGGAGGTGGCTGTCTAGATCAATACATCCCATACGTCCTTTTTTTACAGTTTTAATTATGAAAGGCTTGTGGTTTATATAACCACTCGTAATGAACAAAATTTATAAAACTTTCTTGGTGACGTTTTGGCCTTAGACTTTCGTGTCTGTGAACATTTTGTTTTTAATGAGAGGCCAGTGTTTAAACAACAGGGTGCATTTCAGGTCTAGTGTGTGTGTTTTGGCAACAGAATCAGGCTCTTCCTCTGAGGCGTGAGCTTGGCCTGGAGCAGCTTTGGGGGTCCTGACCTCTGTCCTCAGCGAGTTACGACTGTGTGTGTTTCTACATTTTGCCCACCAGATGGCCACGCAGCCTGGATTCTCTGAGAAGCTATTTGAAGTCCGTATTGAAAGACGTTGTAGGCTTTGGTCCTGGTGCGCTTTAGGAATCATCGGCCCTCCCTGTCGCTCTGGCAGGTGACTCGTCACCCTCATGCTGACATTTATCCACATGAGTCCAGGACACCTGTGCAGTGTCTCCTGGGTTTAGCTGTCCACTCCCAGGAGGACCAGGTTTATGGGGCACAGGTTGTCAGTAAACACAATATTGCATTTGCCTTTATGGCTGCATTTTCATCTCCTGCTTGCTGGCTCCTTTCTTTGGACTCTGGCTGTAATGAGTGCAAGGTCAGAAGCTTGGTTCTCTGTTCTGTTCCTCGGTCGCAGACAGTGTGACATCGATACAAAGCAGAGCCAGGAGAGACTGGGTGGCATGCAGCCTGCCCTCTCGGTGCAGGGCCACACGCTTCCTCTCCCATGGCAAGTGGCATTCCTGCGGGGTAGGCGTTCTTGTGGCCTCTGAATGGCAGAAGCGTTCATGAGCTCCTTGGCATAAAGTGCAGGGCTTAGTGTGTGTCCACATGTGGACCTTTATAGGGTTCGGTGTTCTCCAAAACCGTCATCAGGGTCTCCAAAGGCCTGTCTTCCCAAAGGCTAAGATTTAATCTTGGGAAGAACCTCAATGTAGTTCCCATAAGCAGTCAGAACATGTATAAAAGTACAAGTCTAAGGCTAACTTGGTTAGTGTATAAAGCAGGGGCTGTTTTAAGGGTTTGGTCTTAGTAAACCATTGGCTGTTTAAAGTTAGGAGGTCTTACCTATAGCAAGAAGACACTGTGTTCTTTTCTGAGCTGTGTTTCCGTGTCAGGAGCTGGGACCCTGCACCCTAGGACTCAAGTGCTTTCCCACTATCTACAGGGTGTTTCAGGGAGCATTAGTTGATTGGCCCTTGTCTGCTCTCACTGTAGATCCAGAGAGGTATCATTGTTACCCGCAGATTGAGGTGTGTGCTTCCCATTTATTTGAGAATGGGGAGGGAGGAAGAGGGAAATACAGGAGAAGCGTTTTACGGCAATGAGGTGAGCTTCCATGGTCAAAATCTTACCATTGGAAACAGGAAGGAATTCTTAGAGGATCAAGTTGGGATTCTCTAGTCTGGCATTAAGGCCCCTCCTGGTTTGGCCCCCCTTTAATGTTCTCATCTTGTATTATAGCAGCATCCTTTTCTACAAACCCTCTTTCTACCCAACCAGTCTGGCTACTGTCCCTAAATTGTCTTTGTTTTTTCTAGTTTCTTGGCTCATACATTCTCTCTGCCTTGAACAACTTTTGCCACTTCCACAACTGTGCGTCCATTAGGTGTGTGAGCTGTGCCTGTGACAGGTGTCGGAGACCTGGAATGTCCTTGGACATGGCGAGGAGGGTAGAATCCCAGAGCTTCATAACTGGCCGGTGTGTGTGGGGGGGAACAGGAACAGAGGGAACGTATCCTGCCCTGGGCTTTCTTGGTAGAAAATTGTGCACATCGTTGGGATGGGGGCCAGAGGTGGATACTTGCTCAGGTCACTCTGCTGCTGACAGACAGAGTGGCTGGCTCAGCGTCTGAGCCTTCAGCAGGACACTATTGTCTCTAGGAGGATGCTGAGCTCAGGAGGTGGGAGTTACAAGTTTATGGGAACAATAACAGCAGCTGGGAGAACCAGAGGATAAGAATACATGCAGGGCCCGGTGAAGCTCTTTTGTAAGTGGATGTTCATAAAAGTAGTGGCTGGCATGAGGTGTCCAGTCTGTGCCGGCACTGCTCTGAGTGCTTCCTGTGTCCACTTATTGGTGCTTGCAGCCCCTGAGGGAGGGAGTGTTCTCCCCGCTCCCTGAGCAGCTGAGGGAGTCAGGGCGGGTGCTGGCCCTGAGGCCCAGGCGGTGCTGGGTGCTCAGCGACGGTTTCCCACTCCATTTGAAATCTTTGGGACGGTTGGAAAGGAAGGACTGCCACCACACGGAGTCACTCTTAGCGGCGTCCCATTGCAGGGACTTGCATATGAGACCTGAGGGGAGGTTGAGCAGCCTGGAGCACGTCCTGCTGAGGACCAGTGGTGACTGCAGCTGCCGGCTGGGGAGCATGTCTGTGACCAGTGAGTTCCCAGGGGAGTCTTCAGTGTTTTCTCCCACACGCTCTATAGAAATTTGGGTGTTTCTCCCCATTCTGTCTTGATCCTTGACTTAATAGATGTTGGCTGATGTGAGGGTAGCTGGGCGCTGTGGGTACGGGGCCTGGTGTGCGCTGTGTGGAAAACGAGGCAGGGAGGCTGGCAGGACTCGGAGCCATGTGGCCCCAGACCTGGAGGGGCTTGCTGGCCTGGGCCCTGGCTGCAGCTGTCAGCAAGGAGACGGCCATAGCTCCACAGTGATGTCCACGTGTGGGCTGCACTTCTGCATTCGTTTAGACTGTCTAAACATCCTCTCTGTTCCTGGCCCCCCCCCCCCGCCCCCCGGCAGTATTTCTCAAACTTTTGACATATGTGTACCCCTTCTATAATTTTCATAATGCTGAGTACCCTTCGTACTCATGAGAATGTAGAATTAGGTGCAGCTAAGCACGGTGCAGTGCATATCCCCAACAAACTCTTCCCGTACCTCTGGGGGTACGCGTACCACACTTTGGTTTAGAGAAATAGGACAAAGCCCTACACCTGTAAGTGATCGGGAAGGAGGGTCTGTCTTTGAAATGTTCTCCCTGCATTCTTTGCAGTATCAGTGTTGTTTTGGGGTCTTTTCAGCGTAGTTTGTGAACTGAGATGTAGAATGCTGCTCCTGATATGCCCTTGTGGAAGGACTGGTGAGAGTCCGTGGTCTCCCCTGTAGCCCGGGACCCGGGCAGCAGAGGGAGGGAAGTCAAGGCCGCCACTACGTGTCGGTCTGCATGGGGTGCAGGCTGCGCTTTGTCTTCTAAGTCTCCGTGCTGCTGGCTTCAGGCATGTGGCTGCCCTTCTGGTTAATGAGCTAAGATCCATTAAACTCGTTACTGAGTTCTTGCCAAAACTGGTTTGGCTCAGTGGATAGAGCATGGGCCTGCGGACTGAAGGGTCCGAGTTCGATTCTGGTCAAGGGCATGTACCTTGGTTGCGGGCACATCCCCAGTGGGGAGTGTGCAAGAGGCAGCTGATCGATGACTCTCTCTCATCGATGTTTCTAACTCTCTCTCTCCCTTCCTCTCTGTACAAAATCAATAAAATATATTAAAAAAAATAAACTTGTTACTGAGTTCTTAATAGGCTTTTCTCATCACCCCTTTGCCAATCCAAAGGAGCAGAAAGGACAGTCATGACCCTGGGGGCTGTGCTGTGCGGACGTGGTGTCTGATGTGAGACAAGGGCAGCAGGTTCTGGGTGGGGCTGTGTGAGGCTGCATTGTGATGAGCATGACTCTTCGTCATGCTCAAGTGACTAATTTCTTAGGACGTGTCATTAAAGGGCCTAACACTTGGTCAAGTGCTGTTTTATTTATTAATTATTCTTACTTGCATATTGGCCTAATTGTATTTGTCAGCTTATGAGTCATTTCCTTATTTTATGTTTTTATTTCATAAAATAAGTTATTCTAAGGGAAAATAAGATAAAAATGTTTAGTGATCATTTATGCTGAAGTAAATTGTACATATTACAAATGTTAGAAATTACTCTTAGATGTGTCTTACTAATTTATTTGGGACAAGATGCTATTAATCCGGCTACCTTTTTAAAAAATATTTTTTTAAATATCTTTTATTGATTTTTTTACAGAGAGGAAGGGAGAGGGATAGAGAGCTAGAAAGATCAATGAAAGAGAACCATCGACCAGCTGCCTCCTGCATGCCCCCTACTGGGGATGTGCCCCAACCAATGTACATGCCCTTGACGGAATCGAACCTGGGACACTTCAGTCCGCAGACCGATGCTCCATCCACTGGGCTCCTGCTCCGCTGTCTGACAGGGCAGCGCTTCCCCTTAAAGGAAATCAGAAACGCACCTGCCATTCTGGTTGCCGGTTACTGCCGTGCCGTTATTTTGGTAAAGGCTCCCGCAGCTGTGGCTGTTAGGCGAGGCCTGACACCTAATCAGTGGGGCAGCTCGGAAAGAAACTCCAGCAGCCAGGGAAGCGGTACGAGCCACATTAGGTACTTCAAGTCCTCTTTAGGCTGGTTATACTGATTCTGCTCAGATTAGCATCGTTTTAACCATTTGTACGCTCTAAACATCTATAGACACAAGCGGCAGACCTTTTTGAACTCAATTCAAAATACCGTGGCAGTTAACTGGTTAAAATAATGCTAACTGAAGATAAAGAAAAGATTTGTAGGGCTGTTTTTTGGGAAAGGAAGTTATCTACAGACTATTTCATTTTTTAATTTATCTTTATTGTTGAAAGTATTACAGAAGTCCCCTTTCACCCCATTGACCCCCTCCACTCACCCCTATCTACAGACTATTTTAAATTTTATGTTTCCTGTGCTTGTTGGCTAAGAATTCATCTCAAATGGTTTTAACATTTTTGATATTTGTAGCCCTGTGTTTTTCAAGCATTGAATTAATGAATCTCTGTTTATTATATATATAGTTTTTGGTGGTTGTATTTCTAAAACCCATTAATTTGAAATATGGTTCTGTGTCAGTATAAAAGTTTTTTTTTTAAATTTATAATATTAAAAATCCTTTTAGCACTAATAAATTTCAGGGGTTAGTGCTTAGGGAAATCTGTGTATAACTTAGCAAACTTAATATGTGTGTAGTTGAGAAAAAATACATGGGATTGTACTGTTAATGGGAACCTGAAAGGGAAGGAATCTAGTTGGGCTCACTAAAACAGGACAAGGGAAGGCACATGCGTGCGTTGCTGCTGCCTGAGCTGGGTTGGCAGCTTCACATTCCTCAGGGTCAGCTCACCTGTCACTCTGCCTGCAGATCAGATCTCTGTGCTAAACAGTTCTTCCTGCCACAAAGTGGTGTGCCCTCTGACCCCTGTCTTTTCTCTCCACCAGGTCAGACCGTGGTGCTGTCTCAGCCTGCCGTGGTACAGCTGCAGGCACCCGGGGTCCTGCCCTCTCCCCAGCCTGTCCTGGCGGTCAGTGGAGGAGCTGCACCGCTGCCTAATCACGTGGTCAGTGTGGTACCGGCCCCTGTGGCCAGTAGCCCAGTAAATGGAAAACTTTCTGTGGCTAAACCTGCCCTGCAGAGTACTGTGAGAAGTGTGGGTTCAGATGTAAGTTTTGACATTTAGTGCTTTTTTAATGCTTGATTTAAAAACAAGGACAAAACACATTTTTTGTTTTTTGTTTTTTAAAGTTTGTTTCAGTGTGTCATGTGCTGAAATTGCACATCCAATCTTTAGTGGAAAGTTAGGGCGGGGTTTATGGTGTGAGAATCTGCAGGAAGATTTAATCAAGTCTGCAGGGTCTGATAAGAAGTGTGCGTTTGTTCCTCCTCTGCCTCCTGAGCCCTCTAGTATTGACACAGTCTCTGATAGTTCCTGATAGAAGTGCTTTTGGCAATTCAGAATCTAGTTTGTAGACTCCTCCTTAGTTGGTATATTTAGTATTGCTCTTGACTTATGGAAGTGTTCTCAGCACTGCATACAATTGGCTTGCTACTCTGTGGATTAATGCTGGGGGTCTTAATCCATCATCTACAAGGGTTCAGGAATCTGGAGAAGTGCTGTGTATAAATTAACCAAGAGTCCAGAGATGAAACATAATTTTGGAAGGCATTTGGAGGGCCTGAGGAGCTTAGCTAAAGGAACTAAGTTCTCTCTTGTCTCAGGATCCCTTGCTTTTTATTAACACAAATTGTCCTAAGGCAAAGTATATACACATAAAAGGCCAGGTTTAGTATATAGAATCCATTGTCAGATTGGGGAATAGCCTATGGCTGTTCAGATGTTTGGCCAATAGGAGGCAATAACATGTAGATTAAGATGCCCTCAGCTGTCTGGCAGCAAGCAATCAATTTATCCTTTTTAGGTTTGGGGAAATACCTTTAGCTATTCCCAGATGATTCAGCCCTGCTGACATGCTGGAATTGGCTTCCAGCAGGGGATTCTATCTCCTAATGATTACTTGATAGTTTTCCATTTTTACAAACCTTCAAATTTCCTAGCATGGTTGTAGAAATTTTTTATACTTTATAAATCACAGAAAGTGTCCTAAAATCTGCCACTCTCTAAAAGCAGTTATAGCACTTACTGGCTAATTTTTGCCTTCTTTAAAAGTGAATAAAATACCTCATGTTATGCATTAAACAGTAGTTGAACATCATGGCCAAAGTTTAATGAAAGTTAAAGTCAAATGATCAGTCTCTAAAGTTGTGATTGGGAAAGGAAATCCCGTATGTTTTCCCTAAAATAAAAGTGGGTATTGCCCTGGAAGGTTTGGCTCAGTTGGATGAGCATCATCTTGTGCCCCAAAAGGTTGTAAGTTTGATTCCCCATCAGGGCACATGTCCAGGTTGCAGGATTGATTCCCTCTACGGGGTGTGCAGGAGGCAGCCGATCGATGCTTTTGCTCTCACATTGATGTTTCTCTCTCCCCCTCTTCCTTCCTCTCTCTTAAACTCAATAATCTTTTTTTTTTTTTTTTAAAGTTTGATATCAATGGTTGTTAATATTGCTACTTCATCTTTCTTAGGTGTTGCAAAGGTATTTAAAATCCTGTGAGTTTTGTAAGGTTGTTTATCAGACTACAGGTGTTCTGTCTACCAGAATTTAACAAGCACATCAGTAGCCCATGTAGGTGTGAAATTGCTCCACTATTGCATGAACAGCAGCAATAACCTCAGTCAGATGTAATGGAGATCCATGGAAAGGACGGGAGGAGGGGAGTGGAGGCCCTCCAGCAGTTCCCATCCTTTGTCCGGCACTGTGGCGAGCATGCCAAGGCACAGGGAGGAGGAGCATGAGTATCTGGAGCAGACGTGGGACGAACTAGACTTGACTGTGTTAGTTTATGTTGAGGCTGGGAGAGGAGAGCACGGTGCAGTGACACAGCAAGCAGCAGTACTACGTGTGTTTCAGGGGGAGATGGAAAGGTTAGGTGCTGGGATTTGCGGTAAAACCTCTGTGGGAGGAGCACAGGCAGGAGAGAAGATGGGCAAATGCTGATGGTCAGTGACGTTGGGTGTGGAGGATTGCGAAAATTTCCACAATAAGTAAATAGTAACAGAAATCTAAAAATATTTCATGCATACATACATATATGCATATATAAATATATACCGTATTTTTCGGACCATAAGACACACCGGACCATAAGACGCACCAGTTTTTAGAGAAGGGAAATGAAGAAAAAAAGATTCTGAAACAAATAGTGTCCTAAAATATTTTATGTGCATTAAAACCCAACATCACAGTCATAAACACATGTAATCAACCCTGTAAAGTAAACAGCAGACACAGAGCCGGGCAAGTAAAAAAACTTTTTTTTTAAAGTATATGTGTAGGCTATATTTGGACCATTAGACGCAGGGACTTCCCCCCCCACTTCTGGGGGGGAAAAAGTGCGTCTTATGGTCCGAAAAATACAGTATATCTATGTGTATATACATTTATATGTATTTTTGTTAATACATGAGGATATTTTTTCTATTGGTTTTTCAGAGAGAGTTGAAGTGAGGGAGGATGGGGGAGAGAGAGAGAAAAAAATATTGATGTGAGAGAGACACACCGACTGATTGCCTTCCACATGCACCCCAACCAGGGGCTGGAAGCTAACCCATAACTTAAGTATGTGCTCTTAACTGGGAAACGAATCTAACACCCTTTGGTGTGTGGGCTGATGCTTTAACCATTGAACAACTGGCCAGGGCTATTCATTGTTATTTTAATTAAAAATATGTACAACCAATGGGGGGGAAAAAAGAATATTCTTTTCATAAGAAACTGAGGAGGGTAAGAATGATGAAAGAAGAATTTAGAAAAAATGATCCCTTCAAATTTTCTTTCATTTTTGAGTTTGAATGTTTCCCCTGCAATACTTCCAAATAGAACCAGCAACAGAAAATGGGCACAATTGTTTTTCTATAATGTTAGGACTTTTTTTTTTTTAAATAAATCTTTATTGTTCAGATTATTGCAAGTGTTCCTCTTTCCCTCCCAATTGCTCCCCTCCACCAGGTTCCCACCCCACCCTCTGCACTTTCCCCACCCCCCATTGTCCTCATCCATAGGTGCACAGTTTTTGTTTAGGCTCTTCCCGCACCCCCCACTCCCCTTTTCTCCGAGAATCATCAGTCCACTCCCCTTCCATACCTTTAATTCTATTATATTCACCAGTTAATATTGTTCATCAGGATTTTTAATTCCCTTGGTTTTTAGTTTCACTTGTTGATAGTTACGTATTTGTTGATCATAATTTTTATCTTACCTTCTTCCTCTTCCTAAAGAACCCCTTTCAACATATCATATAATTCTGGTTTGGCAGTGATGAACTCCTTTAGCTTTTTTTTTTATTTGTGAAGCTCTTTATCTGGCCTTCGATTCTGAGTGATAGCTTTGCTGGGTAGAGTATTTTTGGCAGTAGGTTCTTGCTATTCATCACCTTGAATATTTCTTGCCATTCCTGTCTGGCCTGCATGGTTTCTGTTGAGAAATCAGCTGACAATAGTATGGGTGCTCCTTTATAGGTAACTACCTGCTTTTCTCTTGCTGCTTTTAATATTCTCTCTTTGTCTTTTGCTCTTGGAATTTTAATTATGATGTGTCTTGGTGTGGTCCTCCTTGGATTCCTTTTGTTTGGGGTTCTGTGTGCTTCATGGACTTGTAAGTCTATTTCTTTCCCCAGGTGGGGGAAGTTTTCTGACACTATTTCTTTCAGTATTCTTTTGGTATCTTGCTCTCTCTCTTCTTCTGGGACCCCCATAATTCTGATGTTGGTTCGCTTGAAATTGTCCCAGAGGTTTCTTACACTATCTTCAACTTTCTGGATTCTCTTGTCTTCTTGCTTTTGTGGAGGAGTGTCCTCTGGCTCTTTGTGTTACAAATCTTTGACTTGATTCTTGCGATCTTCCATTCTATTTTAGGACTCTGTATAATATTTTTTTATTTCAGACGATGTATTCTTTATTTCTAGTTGCTCCCTTTTCATATTCTCATATGTCTCATTTATTTTATCGGCCTTTTCTAGGAAATTCTTGAAAAATCTTATAAGCGTGGTTTTGAACTCTATGTCTAGTCGCTTCTTGTCCTCCATTTCTTTTGTTTGTGATCTGTTTTCTTGTCTCGGCATTTTCCCAGCTTCCCTGAGTTGGTAGGGTGGCTTTGTGTGCTAAGGTGTCCTATATGGTTCAGTGAGTCAGCCTCCCAGTTACCTGAGGTGGACAGTCTTGGTATAGCCCTTTGTGGGCTGTGTGTGCAGTCTTGTTGTTAAGCCTTGCTTGTTGTTGGTATCACTGGGAAGCGTTGAATTCCAAGCCAATTGGCTATGAGGATCAGAAGTGTCTCAGCTAGGAGGGTTTCTGTATTCTGCTTGAATGGGGCGGAGTCTCGGGGTGGCACAGACAAGCTTTGTTGAATCCTGCAAGATTGGTTGCAGGCGCGCGCACCTCTTTGGTACATGCACAGACAAGCTTTGGATTTCTGTCTGACCCTCCCTAGGAGAGTCCTATTCGCAGCGAACGAGAAAGCTAGCCACTGGAAGGGCTTCTGTGCACTGCTTGGATGGGGCGGAGTCTCGGGTGGTGCAGACAAGCTTAGGTCAGCCCCTCCCTATGAGGGTCTGGTTTCTGAGTTACTGTGCACCTCCGGCACCTGTGCCAGGAGTCCAGGGAGACCCTGCCAGCATGAGCCCACTTGCACAGGACAATCCCAGCCCACCCTCAGTTTGCTGTCATGCCCACCCGAACACTCACTTCCTGGGAAGTGTTTCCAGACTCCTCTGGAGTAATGGCCGCTGTAATGGCCGCTGGCTTCACACACCTCCGAGAGATCTCTACCCGCTGCCTGACAGTCTGGCCTCTCCCTGTCTGGGGCATCGGAGCAATAGGGTGGTTCTGTTTTCTTCCCGAACAAGAAAGCCAGCTGTGCATTAGCTGTCCGCCCTCTCTGCGCGCAGGGAGTAAGCTAGTAGCGAACTCAGCCCGGCCTGCCCTCTCTGCGCTCTGCAAGCAAGCCAGCTGTGAAATCTGGTGGCCGCCTTTTCTCGCACACAGTTTTTCGCACCTTCACAGTTCCTGAGGTTCAGCGTGCCTTTTCTCTCCTTCCCAGATGGTAGA